CGGCTCATGTTCATCTTGGAGTCAATAATGACTCCGAGATCCCTTTCCGCCTCTGTGCTTTCAAGAGGGGAACTCCCCAGCCTGTGTGCGCGCTGTGGAGTCCTTCTCCCCAGGTGCAGCACCCTGCGTTTGTCTACGTCGAACCCCATCCTATTCTCATCTGCCCACTTTTGGAGTCTGTCTAAATCTAGTTGCAGCCTCTCTCTCCCTTCAAGTGTGTCCACCTCGCCCCACATCTTAGTGTCATCAGCAAACTTGGACAATGTGCTTTCCACCCCCTCGCCCAAGTCGCTGATGAAGATGTTAAACAGTGCGGGCCCGAGGACCGAGCCCTGGGGGACCCCACTGCTCACATCTCGCCAGGGTGAGTACAACCCGTCCACCACTACTCTCTGGGTTCCCCAAACCCCCTTGGAGGCAACAACATTGCAGATGCCCCAAGAGACAACCGGTGCCCAGAAGTGCCCGGCCCCGCAGCCTAGCCCAGTGCTCCACACTGAATGTGCGCCAGCCAGCAGCCTACCACGTGGGCAGCGAGAGGGGGAGGCAGGCGAGGTGACCCTGGCAAGGGGACGGGAAAGCACTCGGGGAGCGCAGGGCCGCTGAGGTCTGCTCACAGCTGACCCTTGCAGCTCCACTGGCTGCAGATGCTGCTCCCGACACCTTGGGTGATACTTGGCAGTGACGGAGGGTCCGTGCCCGTGCCCAAAGCCAGGGCAGTGATTGCAGGGCGGGCACCGTCAGGGCACCGCTCACTGCTGTGCTCCTCTCCCAGGTGCACCACGGGGCAGCCCCAGCTCTGGTCCCTCCAGGAGAACCGGATGAGGCCTTTCCTGCCCATTGGCACCTGCCTGCCCTTGGGGCGGGGGCCCTGGGCCAGCCTGTGCCGGGGTCCAGTCTCTAAATAGCACTGCCACACCAAGGCGGTCACATCTCCGTCATACGACAGGGACCTTTCCATGGCAGCAGAGCTCAGCATACAGGGAACACTGAGACCGCGTCCTCCCTAGCCCCGTCCCTCGCCCCCAGAAGAGACGCTGGAAGTGCAGAGACCCTGAAGAGAAGCATGCACAACTGCACTGAATCTGCCCACGGGAACGTTAAGTTATTTGCTGTTGAATCTGCCGACGCCAACACATGAGCAGCTCTACCTTATGCTTACAATAAATCCTGTGCCGCCAGGCTGGCAGGCGCACTTTGTAGCCGAGGTCACTGAATCAGGAGTGCCTTGGGCTGACGTAACACTGGGTGCCGGGACCTAGCGGCTCCCACAGAAAGCTGCTGCGCGAGATGGAAGCAATGAGGGAAGCAGGCAGAGAAACAGGGCCTGGCACATCCGACCCCAGAGGAGACCGGCACAGCGCCCAAGTGACCAGCCTGCCACTGCTCCACCTGCTGCCACCCGCAACGGGCAAACGTCCCCAGCACCGTGCATCCTGCCCACTCCACCAGAGGCCTGCACGGACCCATCGGGTACAGCCAAGCGGGTGTAAATCCAAATCCACCCATCTGGCTGACCCGGCCTCCCACGGGACTGCAGCTGGCACCCCTGCGGCAAGAGCACCGCAGCCCAGCACCAGCCGCAGCCCCGCGGGAGGGGGCCATCACAGCCGCAGCAACGGGCAGCACGGGCCAGCGGGCTTCACCTGGTCCAGGCTGGGTGCAATACCGTGGGGAGGGCGTTTGCTCCAGCTCCCTTCGCTCAGCTCTGCATCTGCAAAAGAATCACAGGAGTCAACTCCTGCAGGAAACCACAGCCAAGGAGCGTGGGCATCGTGGATCTGCCGCCACAGCCCAGCACGCCGAGTTGCAGCGCAGCGCAGCACAGCCTCTCCAGGAACCCGGGTTTCTCCCCATTTCCCCAACACACCGGACACGCTTAAGCTTCTGCTTTCTGCTCCGCGCAGAGAGAAGCCGCTGGGCTTCCCCCTTCTCGCAAGTGCCGACGCGAGGCCGGCAGGGACCAGTAACCTACGCCATCAGCTCCTTGAGCCACCGAATTACGGCAACAAAGCAAGAGCCACAGGAGCAGGCCCCGCACGCACACGCAATCCCGGGCTCCAGCGAGGATCGCATTCTTTCAGGGCGCACGGCAGCAGTGTGCGAGCTGCGTCCTGCCCGATATGGCCTCAGCCAGGCCGGCGCGGACGGCAGCACCCGCGGATTGACATTCCTTCTCGCCGCAGCTCCGTGCTCCTCCCGCCCAGCGGGGCCGTCTCGCCGCGCGGTCCAGTCTCGCCCCGGCTGATGCCGAGGGGTTTCGACCCCTCTCCTGCCCTGGAGCAGCCGTGCAAAACCTTGCATCAAACACGGCTGCTGTCAGGGCCCAAGCGAGAGGGTTTGAGTTCAAAACGCACCAAGGCCAACAACACCTCCTAGCCATCCTCCCCGTGCTCTGCCACCCACGCACCAGCCAGCGCCGACCCTGGGAGTGCCACGAGCCCCGGCCCTTTGGAAAAGCAAAGCTATTTCTGCTGGGCAAGGCTTGTTCCCACCGCCTGAACACCTCCTCGCGCGCAGCACCCGGCACTCGCCTAGAGACAGAGCAATGGGGCAGGGACCAGCCCTACAACCACCAACCACTGCCCTGCCGGGTCGCCACTCCCTGCGGTGCCTGCAGGAGCAGGGGAGGGGGACGGGGTGGCCCAGCTGCGCAGGGAGGCTGGGCCGGGGGCAGGTAGGAGGGAAGCTGGGCCGGGGGCAGGTACCTTCGAGCAGCACGTCGCGGCCGGCCCGCTTGAGCGCCTGCACGGCCTGGTCGTGGGTGGCGTCGCGCAGGTCGAGGCCGTTGACGGCCAGGATGGCGGCGCCCAGGCGCAGCGCCCCG